CCTTCACATAGATGAAACTGGTAAAAGAAAGGAGTCAGGAGCTCCTCCCAAGCCCATGTGACCCCTGAGGAACAGATCCCCAAATGACCTTCAGTATAAAAATAAATTGATTTATTGGGCCAACTGTATGGTCTTCAACACTCAAAAGGAAAGTATAACCAAAGATTAAAGTGATCAGTATATTTCTTTAAGAGTTCAAAGGATTACACTTCCCAGACATTATTCTTGTCCATATGAAATGTTATTTAGACAATTTCTCATTGATGATTTTGTTTCTAATCAGAAAGTATTGCTCAGATGCAAGACTTCAAATATTGATCTGCAATACTGTGGTTCTAACCTGTAACTATGGGAAACAACCCACTATTGTTCTAAAATGATGGCCAAATTTGTTTTTTCCCCCTATCTAGAAGCCTTTAAGAGGTAACTGACGTGGATTCTAGCCACTCCAACAGCTATCAAAATGCCTGGAAACAAATCCTGAGTCCATCACTCTCAAGTTCAATCCTGGCAGAAAAAAAATAAAAAGAGCTATTACTAGTTGTTACTTTCCTTCCCTTCACATGTATACGAACGCCTGTCAACCATCGAGGACCCTGTTCAGATGCATGGAGAGACAACCTCTGCTGCCTAGTGGACCCCTAAACCAGCCTACCCCCCACACCGACCCTGTCCAGCAGGAAGTAGCAAGATGACAACGGCGCCCCCTATCCTATAACACAAAAGGCTGGAATATTAGGGTTCCAAACAACAGCAGCTTCTCCCTTCCCCAACAGGGACCTATGGACTTTTGAAGCCTGAAAAAGGGAACTGAGCTGATAAGCACCTTGGCCTTTGAAGTCAAGGGAAACAAACTCTGCTGAGAAGCAGCCTGCCTTTCCTCTGATCTCCAAAGACAAGATAAGCAGATTCTACCTGTTAACCAGAGATTTTAGAAGCTGTTTAACACAGCAGCTTTTCCCTTATCTTAAGAGGAAAAAAGTAAACACTTCCAGACCCAGATCCTGCCTGGCAGACTGAACGGAGCCAGGTTTACAAGCCCTGCTTTTCCTGCTTCCCCCTGCTTGATTTTTCCCCCAAAACTTCCCCCCCCTTCTGTGCCCTAAAGCCCCACATATATGTATATAAGTCCCAGCTCACAACCCGTGGGCTGACATCTGTCCCTTCCCCAAGGGAAATGTGTCCCGTGAGAAATAAAGCTGTATCCTGCTGCGAGTTCTATCTGTGCCTCGGTGACTCCTCCATCCGCTCGCTCTCCACCTCCAAAACTTTTTACCTATCACTTACCTACATGCAGGCAATACATACATACACATTAAATAAAAATAAAAAATAAAAAATTTAAAAACATTAAAAATTATATTTATTTTGTGTATGTGTAGGTATGCATGTGCCATTGGTCACAAGCGGAAGTCAGAGGACAACTTGTGGGAATTGGTTCTCTCTTGTGTGAGTTGGTTCTCTTCCACCATGTGTGTCCCAAGGGTCAAACTCAGGTTGTCAGGCTCTGCAGCAAGTGTCTTAACACACTGAGCCATCTCACCTTGACGCCTAGATATTTATTTATTACACTTATTTATTGTGTGTGTATGTATGTATGTACACATGCCACAGCTTGCATGCAGAGCTCAGAGGACAACCTATGGGAGTCAGATCTCTCCTTCTACCATGTGGGTTTAGGGTATCAAACTCAGGTTGTCAGGCTCAGCAGCAAGTTTCTTTACCCACTAAGCTATCTCCGGGGGTCCATGTTTCTATTTTTGCTATAGAGTAAAGAGTTCAGGGTACAGCTGGTATCAGTGGGTGGGTCTGCATTCAAGTACACTGAGCCTTCAGAAACTACTCTGGGACAGCTGTCTTCATTACCACAACCAATCTCAGCCTTTGAGGACAGAGAACACACAGCCCCATGGAGCTGGGGTCTGGGGTAGGTGGAGAACTGAA